AGGTACATGTCTAAAGACAACAGGTTCAGACGGAATCATTGGTATATAATACATACAGAATAATTGGGGAGATGGTGAAGAACTTTCTAGATGAGGTGAACTGCACGCCATAGTCGAGCTGCTCCCAGTGAGTAAGAAGTCTGGCTTTTCCTTGGTCAGGGGTCTCAAAAGGGGTGCCTTTGACTGCATGCATGAAGACATACATTCCCTGTGGAGTGGAAACTGCGGTCAATAGTTTACTGACAGACTAGCCAAAAAGAAATGTGATGTCCTCTTATTGTCAACTACGAGGGCAATCTCAAAAGTAAGGTCTCCTATAGAAATACAAGCCATTTATTTTCCATAATATTTACATCATTTTAAAGCTTGAAGACTTATTTATTTTTCCTACATAATCACCATTTCGGTCTATGCAGTTTTACAATGCCCATGTCGATCTCCTGGCAAACTTTTGTTGGAACTTCATCACCCACCCACCCTACAGTCTGGACTTCAGACCCAGTGACTACCACCTGTTCCCAAAGTTGAAAGAACATTTGTCCAGTAGGCAATTCTGCAGCGGCCGTGAGCGGGTATGACATGGGCATTGTAAAACTGCCACAGCGTCTACAACAATGCATCGACCGAAATGGTGATTATGTAGAAAAATAAGTCTTCAAGCTTTAAAATGATGCAAATATTATGGAAAATAAATGGTTGTTTGTATTTCCCAAAAAATAAATACCTTACTTTTGGGATTCCCCTTGTAAGTTAGCCATCTTGGGAGGTTCTAATTACATGTCTGTGTCCAAAACACTGGAGCTTTAGATGGAAAAAGCTGCAATACAGAGGGAAATGTAATGAAACTGAAGCGCTGACATACGGCCAAGAAATAATCACCACACTGATGGTGTATTGTGGTGGAAAACAATAGGCTATAGTTGACCTCAGCTGCTACTGTTAATAGCCTTCCTTATTGGCTGTGATACACAATCCTTGAGCTCAAACTGTTCGATGACGTCACCCACATCAACTCTCTTCATTTGAGGCCAGCCATGCAACAATGAAAGCTCACTCTTGTCAGACTTTGAGGCATGGGGAAATTATCATAATAGGTCAGTCATCAGGCTGTCACAAGGAAAACCGCCTTAAGACAAAACAGGATTCCTGAATCAAACTGATAAGCGTTAGAAATCAGAATTAACACAACTTTCTTGAAATAATATAGAATTTAATGCTTTTCTTGCCAAACACAGAAAATTATTTTTTAATTATTTATTTTAACTATGGACTGTTGGTTAGAACAAAACAAGGATTTTGAAGACCTCACTTTGATCTGTTAAATTTAAAATTTTTAACTTTGTTGTTTATTAACCCTCTAATAAAAGAAAATGTATTCAAATTAAATTTTGGAGGCGAATACTTTTTCAGTCTTTTGACCAATACGGCTTTTTCAGGACCAATACAGATCCTTAGTAAGCTTGGAGACAAATAAACAAAATCACCATCTGACCCCACCATCCCACTTATGTAAAAATAATCAAAAAGACAACGTGATATATTTTGACACCACTAGAATCTTAAAAAACATAGCAAGATAAATAGACATACTGTACAGTAAAATATCAGTACATGGTCCTGCTCAGAGGAGGCCTTCGGTAGGTGACCACAGCTGCATTATTTGACCATTTTTCTGTGACATGTGACCATTACTAACCAGTTTAGAGAAATCGGATATTATCAAAGATGTAGGGCTCTGTTCAATCTTAAAAGAAAAAAAACAAAACAAAGGAAAAGCATCACTGTCAGTATTTTACCTGAGTAACTGGGTAAAAATAAACAAATGCAAATAAATTTTAGAGACTTTAATATCCAGTGAAGTGGACTTTTCAGGGAAACTGCGAGAGATGGTTTGCATTAATATTTATAAGATATAAGAGAAACTTTAGCGGTGGATGAATTCTACTTTGAGCACATGCTGGTTTTCCTGTTGCTGTGGGGACGTCGCTAATGGAAATAAAAGTTAATCCATGAGATCCTTGTGTCTTTGGACAGATTTGGAATCAGAGCTGGTGCTGAAACAGGTTAACAAAGGCGTGTCACATGTGAGTGAGTGTTGGCAAACCTAAAATAAACTACTGCTCAACCCACCAGGTCAGTCTGGGCTGTAACTCAGAGCATTTCCTGCAAGACATTTGGAGCGTGAACAGACTGAAAATCATGACCAAACCACTGCAGTTTAGCTGGCTTGTCCAGCGCCTGTGTGAAATACAGCAACTGGAAGTCAGAGATGTCATATTTCAGTTTATGCACTGCAATTCAAAGCTTCACAGCATTCTTTATTCCCCCACAATCATATTTTTTGTTGCTCCTTTTGGCACCATCTAAACAGCCTTTCTCTATGTAGAAAAAACCCTGAACAGCCTGGCTTGTTTCTGAAGCTCGGATAGCAGCACTGACACAGCATGAGAGAAAACTGAACTTACTAAGTTGTGAATGACATTTGTTAGAGTCCACACCACGGGCACGCTGAAGAAGGGTATGCTCAGGAGCACGATGTGAAGCACACCAACACCAAGTGCGTAGGTCAGCCAAATCCCTCGACTGTTCATCACTCGGGTGTTTGGGTTCACCTCGCTGTGAGCCACACCCACATTCATCCTGGTCTGTGGACAGAAAGACATTCACAAAACAACTTTTCACTTCTGTTATACAACATTATAAAAAAAAAAAAAAAAGCTGTTCTACCTGTTTTGTGTTAAAACACCTGGAGGTTGAATGTTTAAATGGAATTCAAAGAGCTGAGCATCGAGGTGGAGAGAAACTGATTGCAGGGATATAGGGTTGGAGGTGTATTTATAGATAAAAGCACCATAATCCAGCATCACTAATCCACCTCTTATTGAGCATGTTCACCCCATGTCTAAATGGGTACCTCTGATGTGTTTTGCTAAAAAATAAAAATTAAAAAAAATAAATCCAACTTTTTAAAATGAGAGTTTCCTCACACTTAACTCTTCCGTGAAACTCACAGTAATCTATTGTGTTTAGTCTCATTTACATTCAAGACTAATTTTAAGTTCTTAGACAACAGTGAAGGTTTGTTGCAGTTCAGTGGCAGAAACTTTTAATCTGACTGCATTTTAACATGGACAAAAAGAAAAAACAAAAACTCCACAAAAACAATCAAATTCAATATGATGGTTAACTATGATCAACACTCAGCCCCTTTAATAGATACACCAGTCAAAACACTCATTAAGACGAATATCGATAAATTAGCCAGAAATGCATTTAGACATATTTTTTTTAAAAATGTCCACAAAACCATTTCTAGTGTTTACAGAAGACGTTCCAAAAATGAAAAAAAAAAAAAGACTCCAGAGAAAATATCTGGTTGATATGGTTAAAATATCTGCTTCGAGCTGACAACAGCAACTTAAAAACAACACTAACTCAAATAATTATCACAGTTATCCACGAGAGCATCTCTGATTACAAAAAATGTCCAATCTTTAAAAAGGTAACACCGAATGTATCTAATAAAGTGGCTGATAATTAGATAATCACAGTAACGGCATGTACCGGGTTTAGCTCTGAAAAAACAAGCTGACTGTAACTGTATGAATTTTATCTCAATATGGTGCAGCTGTTATTTTGAAAATCAAATTATACTATCAAAGTATGTCTGTAGTACTTGGTATGATAACAATAACGGAGGTGGGGGGCCTTATGTAACCGGTTAAACTTTGGCCTCTGACACACTTTCTAAAGGACAGATCAGAGCTCAAGTTGTTATTAAAACAGCTAGCAGAGTCCAGTAAGTGCATCGTTATTTTAACGGACAAATGACATATATACAGCACTGAGTGCGGCGGTTAATGACTCAAATTTTAATATTAGTCTCAAAGAGTGTTCACTGTGGTCATTAACTGCTGCTCTTGTCAGCAGACATGCAGATGGTATTACAGAAAGACCCAGAAAAAAAAAAGTCACCGTCTGCTTAACTTTTGTGTAACAGCACACCACACTAGCCTTAAAATCACCCAGGACGCACCAAGTTAACTTATGTTCACTGCACTTGTTATGAAACTGGTGTAAACCCGGTATTTAGCAGCAACCCAGCCCTCACAAATAGTTGTATAAACACGGAACGCCTCCCTTGATTGTTTTTTTTTCCAGGATATAGCCGGACCCGAATAACCACTCTTCATAAACCAAGTTGAATTCAATTTAATACAAAAAGGAAAAGAAACCTCCCACAATCCCAGAGTGTGAGACTTACAGCTAGTAGCAAGCAGTGAAGGTATTTGCACGAACAAACTGCTGCAAGAGAAACGCTTTTTCCTCCTGTTGTGCTCAGCTCCCAGACAGTGCAGACGGCACGATGTAGACGGACACCACCGGAAGTAGACGCGGATTTAGGGAGTTTTTATCCGGGGTATTTTCAACTCCACAGTTTGACTTGGAAGGCCGTTTCCCCGCCCCCTAACGGTTCAAACCAATCGATACGCCAATCGATACGCCAATGAACATTTTAAAAAACAGAATACATGTTATTTATTTAATGTTTAAATACATTTATTTAAATGTAAATACATTTATTTAAATGTATTTAAAATAATAAATTATGCACACAGGATGTCACATCAAGCAAGTAACATTAATTTAATTTAATATGGGGTGGCATGGTGTGTGATGGTTAACACTGTTGCCTAACACCAAGAAGGTCTTTCTGTGGAGTTTGTATGTTAGCCCCATGTCTAAATAGGTACCTCAACTTCCTCACACAGTCCAAAGACAACCACTTAGTGGGGTAAGGTTAACAAGTGATTATAAGTTGCCCATAAGTGTGAGTGCAAATGGTTGTCTGTCTCTCTGTGTTAGCTGCCACAGGTGCAGAGGTGCAGAGAATAACATCAAGAGTGAAAGAGGACGTTTAGAAGATGGTAGTGAGACCGGCTATGAATTGTGGTTTGGAGATGGTGCGACAGACAAATTGAATGATTTTTAGATTTCTTGTAAATAAAATGAGAAATAAGAAAAACAATGCCCAAAACTGCCAGCTCTAACTCCGGGCAGACTGCTCTTTAGACTCCGCCTGCGCCTGACTTATAGCCAATCAATATGCAGCGAAGGGGGCGGGAAAATAGTAACTTCCGCCTGTGGTTCTCCGTGACTGTTGTTATGAACGATTGAAGCAGAGAAGCTGTTTCATGTTAGTATTATTTAGCCGCTTTATCGAGCTAATTATTTAATGGCTTTGTAACATCTGTACGTAAGTTTGAACTAAAATTGAAATTTAAATCTGAGCTAGCAAGTCTAAGCAGCTTAAAGGAGGTGTGGAGAGCAGTTAGCTAGTCTTAAAGTACAGTTTCATTTTGTGTTTAAAGAAATGTGGATTTGCCTTAAATGAAGTGAATATATCTTAGTGCTGTTGCTTTTTTGACTGCCTTTACTGGTAAATTATTGTTAGCTGTGATCACTAATTCATCGATATAAAAGGACGTTTTCATGTATCAAGGAGCAGCCAATTTTACAAAACGTAAATACTATTTCTTTAATCAGCAGCAGTAAACGAGTATTTCTGGCAGAAGCGCCTGAAAAGTTAAGGATTCCGTCTACAGTCATCAAGGCAGAGTTGTTAATTAATGTAGATAAAATGTCCCCTTGAAATATCTGCTCTTATTTCATGTATAGATTTTAACTGCAGGAGGGTTCACTGAAGCTGGTTCAGCGTTTCTTTGGGTTTCATGTAGAGAAGTTAAGAGACTGAACTCATAAACACTTACATAGGATGGCCCGCTGTGTTTGAGCAAGCAGCTAAAATAAAGACTGGAAGTGTAAGAAGTTAGGGAGTAACCTGCAGGTTCCTGGGCTGAGATTTTTGTACAGGATTCCTGATTTTTAAAAATCACATAAATACAATAAATCTAATTAGTGACTTTAATAAACTAAAAAAAAGTTTGAATCGTGCATGCCCCTAATACACAGTGAGTGTCGACAAACTGAAGAATATTCTTGTACTGTACACTGAAAGAAAGGGAAATACTTGGACACGTTTTTCTTTATATGTTTGTGTACAATTTTATGAACTTGTCCACCCCACTTCAGCGCAGATTGCATGTATCTGATGAGCTTAACGCAGTCTGACACCACTGAAAATGTGGATAACCAAGATCATATAAATATTACATTTAATAAAATTGGTCAGAGGACACAAATCCCTTTTTGGGGGACATCCAGGATAATACTCTGCCGAATCAAATATGTGGTGTTACCCACTATTGCAC